TTTTTCATCAAGCATTTTGAATCTCGTTGACAATTCAGTGCTAGAGCTGTATACTGTTTTGGTAGGTCAGCGGTGATCATAAAGTTGCTCGTTCAACTCCGGCTCGAAGGAAATTCTTTTTCTCAGAGTCTTGTCTTCATAGTCATTTTACGTCGTTTAATTTTTTTCCTATTTATTTAAATGTGGAAGCAGGTCCTGTTTTCATGCCCATGTGTTGAGTTTCCCATGCACTCTTACGAAATGTTCTTATCACAAAGATGTTCCTTGAACCGACACGCGGACGGATACACGGACCGACGAAATCACTCTTGATCTTATCTGTTGCCGATAGTACCAGAAAACTATGAATAGACCCAGAAAAAGCACGAGAATCTAACAGGTGTGTTTCCTTCTACACCATAAACCTTCGGTAGCTCAGTTGGTAGAGCGGGGGTCTGTAGACTTCTCTGGCGCTGGTTCGAATCCAGCCTGAAGGAATATTTTTATGGCCTCTTCTCCGCAACCTTTCCGGACTTCCGGACCGGATGGTTATTTAAACATTTTGCATCAGCGATATTGAATCTCGTTGACAATTCAGTGCTAGAGCTGTATACTGTTTTGGTAGGTCAGCGGTGATCATAAAGTTGCTGCTTCAACTCCGGCTCAAATTGTTTTGTCTTTTTTACATGTTGAGTCGTTTCTTTCGTACGCAATTTACGATATTTAATTTATTTATTTTATTTATTTAATGTTTTCGATATTTATTATTTTTTAATCGCTGGTTGCGCATCGCAAGCTTTTGAGTTTCGTTTCATTTTAGTTATATTACATGCGTATACATATTTTAGTTGTGTTAATATACATCGTTGTTTAAAGTGAGGCTGAATGGAAAATAATATCCTGTTTAGGAGCTGTCTTCCCATGTAGCGTGGCTTGTTCTTCTTCCTGACTTCCCTTCTTATGTTTTCCTGCCATCCTCCTCTTTCCTGTTAGGTATTGCTCCTGCATTATCCTTCTCTCGTCCATCATAGCCAGCTTCCCCAGTCCCACTCTTCTTTCCATACTACTCCTCCTTCTTACTATTCTCCTATTCCCCATTAACCTCCTCTCTCCCACTACCTTCCTCTGCCTCTTTTTTCTCTCTCTCTCTTCTCTCTCCACTTTTTTCTTTATCTTGCTTTTTCTCTTCTCTCTCTTTCTCTTCTCTTTCTCTCTCGTTCTCTTTCTCATTCGCGATTTCTCTCCTCTCTCTCTCTCTCTCTACCTATCTATCTTTCTTCTTCTTTTCTCTTTCTCTCTCTCTCTCTCTCTCTCTCTCTCTCTCTCGCTCGCTCT